GATGCTGCTGCCCAAAAGCCACCACAGTAGTGGCTGTTCACACCCCAGCGCAGCTCCTGCCCCCTGCCTGTGCAGGGCACAGGACCACTGGCACCACCCCAGTTTCTCATTCCCAGTCTGTGCAGGAGCTGGCACTGTGAGCCCAGCTCAGCGCTGGAGCTGGGGCAATGCTGGCAGCACAGCGTGGGGTCCTGCCAGCCCTCACCTTTCAGGATGGTCATGTTGATCTGAGGCATGGGCTGGTACTGGGGGTAGAAGCGCTTTTCAGGTGAGGGGCAGCAGCGGACACAGCGGGGCTGTGAGGGCAGCCCCTCCTGGGCATCACCAGCCTTCTGCTCCTGCGTGGCCCTGGCAAGGCAGAAAGCAAAACGCAGCAGGAGCTACGGGGGGGCGGGGGGTCTGCGGTGCCAGGGCTGCCCTGGCCCCCACTGCAGAGCACCCTGGCTCAGGGGTCCCCTCACCTGGCAGCTTGGTGCTGGGAAGGGGCCTCATTGGGGTCTGTCCACCATCTCTGCCCAGGGAGGGAGCTGGTCTGGCTCCCCACAGGGCAGGGCAGCAGGAAGATCAGCAGGACACCGTGCACCCACAGCCCCTCCATGCCTTGGCAGGGTCCTGTGAGGTGCCGGGGACAGGAATGAAGAGACTCCCAGCCCAGCCATGCCCCAAGCTGTCCTGGGACAGGACCTGTGCACTGCACAGCCCCGGGGCTCTGGCTGGGCTATGGAACAGTGTCATCCCAGTGAGCACCTGTGGAGACCCACACTGGGGCAGTTAGGGGGCTCTGGGCTCATGTGCAGCCCCTGAGCCCTGGCACATATGGCAGATGGGATTACCTCAGAGCTGAGAGTGGAGCAGAGCAGCAGCCTCTGAGCGGGCCAAGTCCTGGACCAAGTGCTGCTGCTCCTACTCAGCCTGGCTTCAGCTGCCTCCCATGGACACCCAAGAGCAGCAATTTAGGACGTCAGCACCTGAAAAATTACAGAGAGCTCCAGATGCCATGAGGCAAATGTCAGGATGCAGCCCTGCTTGTGTGTGGGACCCCAGGAGGGCCCAGAGAGAGAATCTGCACCCTACTCCTGCAAGGGGCTCCTGTGCCTTGGGGCTGCCAGCCCAAGGGTTTGCAAGGGGACACGACCCCCTCCTCTAGAAAGAGGGATGTGGGCTGGTAGCCCTATTTGGGAGCTGGCTGAAACCTTTCCAAAAGCCCACACCCTGTATGGGGCCAAAACTAATATTTGCAGAGGTGGTGGCATTGTGGCCCAGCCCGGGCACTTCGCGACCCCTCCCTCTATTATCAGAATCGTATCTGCTGGAGACGTGGGGCCGGGCACGCAGCACCTCGCCCTTTGGACAGCCTTGGCCAAACAGGGGCGTAGCACTGCCCAGCGCTGGGCATCCCGCGGCTGCAGGCTCCGAGCGGGACGGGGATGGCCGCTACCCGGCTCCTATCTCAGCCAGATGCCTCCCTGGGGTGGGACATGCGTGTGGCTTTCGCCGGTGTCCCCTCCCAAAGAGCCGCCCGGCTGCGCTCCGCCGGGATCGCGGAGCGCCGGTCCCGCGGCGCAAAGCGCCCACTCAGCCCTGCCCTGTGTTCTGCGGCTCAGCCGGGCCATGACGGATTTTGGGGCAGAATCCTGTGGTTTTGGTGAGCGCCTGCTCTCAGTCGGCGGTCGGTGGCTGTTGTCACTGTCCCCAGGTGCGGGGTCCCAGGGACCACGTGCGCTCCCGCAGCGGGCGCGGAGGGCTCCGGGGCCGGGGGCGGATGCCTGGATTATGAGTCACTGGAGCTGGGAAGGGGCGGAGGGATTGGGAAAGGCTCCAAAGGGCTTTTCCTGCTGCTCAAATCCTCTGCCAAGGGCCTGGCCCCGGCACACACTTCCCGCTGCCTCTGTCTCTCACCCCGTTGTGTCGGTGCTGCCAGGTGTGGAGGGAGGCAGGGGAGAAGCGGATCCGTGGATAGAGGTGGAGGAGGCAGCCAGGGCCTTGTGAGCACGTGTCACCAGGGCGGCCCTGGCACTGGCCCTGGCCCTGGCCCTGGCCCTGGCCCTGGCCCTGGCCCTGGCTCTGCTCAGCCTGCCTGGCCTCCAGCTGTGCCAGACACACAGCACTAAGCAGGGCACGGAGCGTGCCGGGTTTGGGAAGCCTATGGCTTTCCCCCAGCTGTGGGACTGTCACACCAGGCATTCCTCTGGGATCTGGAGCAGGCTGGGCCCTGGGGACAGCGCAGCGTCACAGAGAGCTGCTCCACAAGGAGAAACCCTCCACCAGGAAGTTCCCATGGTGGAAGGCAGTGCTTCCCAGGCTGTTGGGGACAGAGCCGAGTGTGTGGTGCTCGCAGGGTGCTGCCAGCAGCCCATGGGGATCGCTGGGCCCCAGCGTGCCCCCCTGCACCCTGCAGGTGTGCTGGGCATTGTGTGCCCACCTGCACATGGGCACACACCGCCCCGCCAGGGACACGCATTTCCCTCAGGGTTGGCTGCTCTCCAGGAGCAGTCAGAGATTTAAACTCAGTGGATGCAGAAGCCTTGGGACTGCAAATCAAAACATCTCAAAATACTTTCCAGATGGAGATGAAGACTAGGATGAAACGGAACAAACCCTTGGGGAGGGATGAGGAGCTCGGGGCAGTGCGGAGGCAGCAGGACCTGCACCCGTCTCTGTTTAGGGTGGTGGATACAAACTTCCCTGCACATCAGCCAGAACCACTGTGCCTCTGGGGTCGTGCTGGTGGGCCAGGTGCCCCATGTGCTGCTGCAGACGCTGGAACGGTTGCAGAGCCCTTTTTCCCTGGAGCAGGGCAGAGCTGGCAGGCAGCAGCGTGGGGGCTGCATGGGGCAGATGTGGGGAAGGAGCACGGGGTAGTTGCAGCCCTCCAGCTTCTCTAGCACCAGCAAGACGTTGTGCTGGGTCACAACAGCCACTGTAACCCCCAAAGAGATGCCGGAGGTGGCCCAGCGGGGGTCTGATGTGTTTGTAGCCATGGGATTTTTGGGAACGCAGCTGGGGCAGGGCTGGGGGAATCTGTGTCCTCCCAGAGCCGCGGAGGGTCGGGCTGTGCCCCCAGACTACTGTGAGGCTCAGCCGTGTGGCCCTCAATGCTCCGTTGCAGGCAAAGCAAGGGCCTCGCTCTGCTGGGGGGGCTCAGGGGCCGACCCCCCTGGCTGGGCGTGCGCCAGGGCACCCGAGCGCTCGGCGAGGCGGAGCCGCCTCCCGGTACCTCGGCACCGCCCGCCGATGGGAGCTCGGCCCCTGCAGCTCCGGGGGTGATCGCCAGGCCTCCCAAAGCTGCCCCCACCTACCTCTGGGGCACGGCTTCTCCCTCCCGGCGCTGCGTTTGCTGCCCTAGAGCATCGCCCGGGCCAGCGCAGAGCCTGTCCGCGGCCGACCGCTGCCTCCCGCTCCGGAGCCGCCTCTCCTCGCCCGGCCCGGGCGGAAATACACTTTTGGGAAGCGCAGGAGGCAGCGAGGCACGGGACGAGGCTCGCAGCCCTCCCCCGCCAGATGTGCGCCCGCGGCTGCATTAACCGTGCGTGCTCCCGGGACCGGCCGCCCCAGCCGTTCGTGCTCCGGGGCCGCCGCACCGGGAGCAGAGGCGGCACGTGCCAGCGGCTCGCCGGAGCTGCCGCGGGGCCCGGGATCCCGGAGGGTGCGGCTGGCCCCGGCGCAGGACCCTGCCCCGTGCCGGCGTTGCCGAGGCCGTTCCCAGCCCCGAGGGCACCGCGGCCAGCACAGCCGCACCGGGCTGCAGCCTTTGACAGCCGGGCACGCGCACGGGTCCCAAGGCGCGGGGCTGAGTTTACCCCGCTCCCACCCCGAGTGGCGGCGGGACATGGGGGCAACCGGGACAAGGATAGAATGTGTTGCGGGCTGCAGCAGGGCCAGCGCGGGGGTCATGCCCGCCGAGCAGCCGGGCTGTGTCTGCCCCGCAGAGCCGGCTCGGCCCCCGCACTGCCCCCGCCGCGGGTCTCCAGCCGCCCGTGAGCGGCGCCCGCTCCAGCGGGCTTTGCTCACCGTGGACCACAGCTCCCGGCAGGCCCCGCGGCGCAGCGGGAGGGGCGGTGGGGGGCGCGGTGACGCGTGGGTCTCCTGGGAGTTGCAGTTTTTGCGCCAGACGGGGCCGTCAGGCCGCTGCCAGGCGCGGCGGCGGCTGCGCGCGGGGGAGGCGGCGCCGCGGTGAGCGGGGACACGGGCGGGGGGCGCGGGGCCGGGCCGGGCCGGCAGGAGGGGGTCCGCACCGGACGGGGGCACCGCGCACCTCGAGCCCCCTGCCCGGGCGGCTGTGCCCCGCGCGGAGGTCCCGGGGGCGCGGGGACCTCAGGGCCCCGCTCCGGCCGGGGAGGGGGCGCGGGGGTCCCCGAGGGCGCGCCCGGCGCAGGCGGGCAGTCCCCGTGTCCTTAGAGGGGCGTCCCGTGTCCGCGCCCGGGGGTGCTGGGGGGGTCCCCGTGGCCGTGCTCAGAACGGGCTGCATGCGCGGTGGGGCTCACCGCACCGAGAGGGGTCCCCGGGGCTCTGCCGGGCCCACGCTACGGGATCCCGACGGGACCGAGAGGCGCTGCCGTGCCCCCAGCCGCGGGCGCCGTGCTGTGCCGCAGCTCCCCTGCCCGGGGCCGGCCCCCCACGCTCAATGCCGCCTCTGTTTGCCGCTCCGGCTGCTGAAAGGCACATTGAGACCCTGCGGCACGGGCCCTTTGTAGAAAGCCCTGCGATGGCCGCTGGGGATCTCTGCCCCGGGATGGGGTCTCTGCCCCGGGCTGCATGGCACGGGCTGAACACGGGTCCAGTGGTGGCTGCTTGCCACCCGGGCAGCCCGGAGTGCCCATCTGCGGGAGCCTGGGGTGCTGCCACGTCCCCTGTGCTGCAGGGAGGGAGGTGGCACTGAGGGGCACTGCTAGCACCCCGGCCCGCGGGTGGGCACAGCCCGGGGTGGGCTCACAATGCTCACACGTAGAGGACACGCTGTGTCCTGGGCAGGGATGAGGGGGTCCTGTGTCTGTGAGGCTGGGCAGGTCAGGGTGTGAGTCCCTTGGGCACTGCGCTTCCTGCTCAGGTGTTGGCATCCTGCTTGGGCGGAGCTGCCACGTGTCCCAGTGTCCCTGTGTGGCTTGGAGACAAGCTCACAGCTCATCAGTGGGGTTGGTTCTCAGGGCCACAGGAGCTGGGCCAGGCTGCCCAGCCACTCTGGAGACAGCAAGGGTCATCCTTGCCACCCGAGAGGAACCTACTTCCTCCCAGGACCCTGTGGGGAGACGTGCCCCAGGACACTGTGACACGGGGCTTGCCTTGAGCCAGGTGCCTCAGCTCGCTGCCTGAGCTGCAGTGACCATGGCACTGATAGAGCTGCTGGGCAGGTCATGCAATCCTGCCAAGACGCTGGGGCTCCTGGGCAGGGGGCACAGAGGGAGCCAGGTGAGAGGGGCTGAGGGTGGTTCCAGCAGCAAACAGCCCCTGGGCATGGTGGCTCTTAGCTGCATGAGGTGGGAGCACCTTCTGCTGCAGGAGAAGGGATGAGGCCCCTCATGGCTGTGTTCTGCTGTCCCCCAAGCTCAGTCAGCACCAAATCCAGCTCTTTGACCTTCTCCCTCCCCTCTTCCCACCAGGTTCTGCTCGCCCCCTGTCTGATGCCAGTCCCGCCCTGCCATGAGTCTATGAGCCCCCTCCGGATCAGTGTGGGTGGTCTGCCCGTGCTCGCGTCCATGACCAAGGGCGCTGACCCCCGCTTCCGACTGCGCTGGAAGGCCATCGTGCTGTCCTCAGCCTGCGTGGGGCTTTTGCTGCTGCTGCTCTGCCTGCACCGCTCCTCCCCAGCACGGCATGGCCCCCCCAGCCCTCGCACCTGGCAGCTCGGGCTGCAGGCGGGGGACCGCTACAACGACACCTACCCGCTGTCCCCGCCGCAGAGGAACCCCGAGGGCGTGCGCTACCGCATCGGCGTCATTGCCGACCTGGACACGCAGTCCCGGGGCTCCCAGGAGCACACCTGGTTCAGTTACCTGAAGAAAGGCTACCTGGTACTGTCAGACAGTGGGGACAGAGTGACGGTGGAGTGGGACAAGGATGAGAGCATGCTGCAGTCCCACCTGGCTGAGAAGGGCCGGGGCATGGAGCTCTCAGAGCTGGTGGTTTTCAACGGGAAGCTGTACGCGGTGGACGACCGGACAGGCGTGGTCTACCAGGTCGAGGGCAACAAGGTGGTACCTTGGGTGATCCTCCCAGATGGGGACGGCACTGTGGGCAAAGGTGAGTTCCTGTCCTGCCCTGTAAAGCCCTTGGCTCTTTTCACCTTGCTGGGGTAGGGTGCACCTTTCCTGTGACCTCTGAGCCTGGCCAAGAGAGAGCAGTTCCTGCTGGGGACCAGCTGGCTGCATGGGAGACACTGTAACCAGCACCGGGCTCAGGGGTGCAGGGTGTGGGGCACGTGGGACAGTCTGATGGCCGCGTGCTGACTGAGCTCCCCTCATGCCATTCTTTCCACCACAGGCTTCAAGGCAGAGTGGCTGGCAGTGAAGGATGAGCACCTGTACGTGGGAGGACTGGGCAAGGAGTGGACCACCACGACAGGGGAAGTGGTGAATGAGAACCCCCAGTGGGTGAAGGTCATTGGCTACAAGGGTGACGTGAGCCACGAAAACTGGGTGACAAACTACAACGCGCTGAGGGCTGCAGCAGGGATCCGGCCCCCAGGTATGGAGCGGGGCAACCTCCTGCCACCCATATCCCACACTCTTGATGGCTCCAGAGCCATACAATCATCCTCCCCGGGGATACTGGCACTGGGGGTGATTTAAAGGCTGCCAGAGGCCAGAGATCTCCTCTTGTCCTGGTCCTTTTCCTCTGCTGCTTGTGCCAGGAGCAGCTGAAGGGTGGCTCAGCTGGCATTGGGCCTGGCAGCTCTGCCCCCAGGCAGAGTGGGATGTGCTGGGTGCCCCTGCTTAGCTCTGGGGAGAACTGTGGGGCTGCTGCCAGCCAGTGAGGCAGGAGCAGGCAGAAGAGTTCATAGGGGATGCCTGCGTGGGGCTGTGGGGTGTTTTGGAGGGGAAGGGGAAGGAGGACGGTCCGGCCCCAGCGTGGCTGTGCCCCTGTGGCCTGTGTGGTCTCACTCCGCTTCCTGCCGCAGGGTACCTGATCCACGAGTCGGCCTCCTGGAGCGACACGCTGCAGCGCTGGTTCTTCCTGCCGCGCCGTGCCAGCCACGAGCGCTACAGCGAGCAGGCGGACGAGCGGCGGGGCACCAACCTGCTGCTCAGCTCCACCCAGGACTTCGGGCACGTCACAGTGGGGCGTGTGGGCGACGTGGTTCCCACCCATGGCTTCTCCTCCTTCAAGTTCATCCCGGACACGGACGACCAGATCATCGTGGCGCTGAAGTCAGAGGAGGACAATGGCAAGATCTCCAGCTACATCATGGCCTTCACACTGGACGGGCGCTTCCTCCTGCCCGAGACCAGGATTGGCAGTGTGAAGTACGAGGGCATTGAGTTTATTTAACAGACATCTGGAGCGAGCGGAGGCGTGTGGGCAGGCCCTGCTAGCCTGCTCCTAGGCCGGGGTCCGCGAGGGATGTCAGGCAGCGCTCCCAGCTCTGTCCTTGGCCCTCGGCTCTCCTGTAAAGTGTTGACTGAGCTGCAGCAGGTGTGGTGCGAGTGTTTCGGCAGTGGCACCTGGTGGCAAGGCACCGCCACCACAGGGTGCTCCCGGCCCCGGGACAGTGTCCAGGTCCTGGAGTGCTGGTGCCTAGTCAGGCCCCAGTGCAGCCCCTAGTGCCCAGCCCTGAATTGCGACAGAACCATCTGCGGTGGCTCGGTGGCTCTGGTGACATCCATGCTCTGGGGTTGCAGCTGAGCCCCAGCTCTACAGCTGTGCCTTGTGCGCCATGGGGCTCGCTGGGTGGAGTGGGGTGTGCGGCCAGAGAGGGTCAGACTGGGGGGATTTCATCAGGCTTTTTCTTCAGAAGCTGGACTTCCTTCCCTTTTCCCGTAAGCTGGGTGAGGTGATGGCTGGGGTGACAGGTGGCCTGTTTCAGAGAAAAGTCTCACATGGGAGGGGACAGTGTCTGTGTCCCTCTGCTCCTGTGAGCACAGGGGATGCAGCAGTTCCCTCACCACTGTGGTTCCAGCACAGTGGCTCTGCCTATGGGGCGGGGGGTGTGGGTGATGGAGCCACCAGCTGTGGCCAGATGTGAAGTGGGCCCATCCTGGTGCCATTCCCAGGCCACACCCTCAGAGGTGTGTGTGTGTGCTGGCCGTCTGTCTTCTCCAAGCCCTGGCTGCACATGGCTCTGACCCCAGAAATGCTTCCAGCCCCAGAGCTGTCAGCTCTGGGAAGAGCTGAGCCCTGGACAGAACTGCTGGGAGCTGGCGGCAGTGCAGCCATGCTGTGCAGGGGCTGCTATGCTCGGTGCAGGAGCAGAGCCAGGAGCTGCAGTTCTGCTTCCCAGAGCCAGCAGCAGCTGAGGAGCGTTCACAGCAGCCCAGGGCTTTGGCCAGGGAGCCCTCCCCATGCTTGCCAGCATGTTGTGAAATTGCTGCTGCAGCCCGTGGCCCCCGGAGGAACTTGTGTGGTTTCAGAAGCCACAAGGGCCAAAGGGGCGTCTGCTGGCCCCAGGGCCCTCCTGACCCCCTGACCAAGGGGACTGTGGCTCCTGGCCTGCCCCAGGTCACAGGGCAGCATATCCTCACACCAGGACTGGTGCTTGGTTCTGTGGTGTCCCCACTTTGGTCCCTGTTAACACTGCCCCTAGGGCAGGTCTGCCAGCGAGTCGGGCTTCAGAGAGCTGGGCATGGCCACTGTGCTTTGGGGGGGTCCTTGTGCCCCCTGTATCCCTCTGCCATGCCTCGGCACTGCTCTGCTGTGGGTCCAGCCGTGCACAGGGAGGGAGGGGGCCTGTCGGGGCAGCAGTCAGGCTGGGGTTGGGTGGAAGGATCCACAGAGTGGTTGGGGCCCTCCCAAGAACCCCGCCAGGCTGCTCCCCCCACCCCTGTTTACAGTGTCAGCACCTCTGTGAGCCATGCAGAGCTACAGGCCAGACATGTGTTTTCATTTAGCCCAGACAATGACTCGGCCAGCGCTGGGCTGCGCTTGTCTCTAGACAGGACCTGTCCCCAGCCTGCAGACAGGCCTGGCTTTGGCCCCCGCACGTGGCCTGGGGATCGTGCAGCACCCGGCCCAGGGCACCCAGGATGCTTTTGCAGCCCACACTGGGCGCCAGCTGGCCACAGTCCATGATGGCCACTCAGCCATCACTGGCACTTGGCAATCTCTCCTGGCCTCAGTCACCCTCCTGGCCTCACTCACCCTCCCAGCCCAGCGCTGGCAGCTCCACAGCACCTGTTGTGGCCCAAGGCTGTGCCAGTGGCTGTCCCTACTACCTGGCCCCTTCTTGTCCCCTGGGTCGAGGCACCCCTGGGCCCCTGCCCTGAGCACTGCGCTGCCCTCAGAGTGCCTCATTTCCTGCTGCTGCTGCAGCCTCTGCAGGCCGTGGGCCCCACGGTGGAGTTGGCAACCTGGGGCTCCATCTCCAGGTGTCATCTAGCATCCCAGCGCTGTCAGTGGTGTCACCTCCCCTGTGTTCCCTGAAGGCTCAGGCAGGGTTTGGGCCGGGTCCAGGTGCCCAGTTCTGTTGTTTCTTCTCCTCCTGGAGGCTGAGCATCTCTGTTATGTCTCTCTTCTGCGTGTATCCATGGCAGTGCTGTGACAAGAGGCTGGCTCAGGAGCATATTTTGTGGCCGTGGTGGTGGCTGTCCTACCAACACATGCCCATGACACCTGGCCCAGCTGTGCTCAAAAGCTGTGGCCCTGCCTGCTCCACTGGGACAAAGGCACTGCTGGGGACATGGAGCATTCTCAGCAGCCAGCCAGGCACAGAGTACAGGTACAGTGACAGCTGCAGCATCCTGACACCTCCATGGTGACACAGCGAGTGGGTTTGGACTGGCATAGAGTCTGTTTTTTCCATATTAGATGGTGTAGGGCAGTGTTTTGGATTTGTGCTGGGAACAGTGTTGATAACAGGGATGTTTTCATTACTGCTGAGCAGCATTTGCACAGCTTGTGGCCTGTTCTGCTCTTCATCCCACCAGTGAGGGGCTGAGGGGGCACAAGGAGTCAGGAGAGGACAGAACAGCTGACCCAAGGGATATTCCACACTGTAGGGAATCATACTCGGCATAGAGCTGGAGGAAGCGGGGGGACATTCGGAGTGATGGTGTTTGTCCTCCCAAATCACCATCACGTGCTGGAGCCCAGCTGCCTTGGGGATGGCTCAGCACCTGCCTGCCATGGGGAGGGGTGAAAGAATTCCCTGCTTTGCTTTGCTTTTGTGTGGCTTTTGCTTCACCTTTATCTCAGCCAGCAGTTTTCTCACTTTCCCCTTCCCAGTTCTCTCACCACCCTGCTGGGAAGAAGGAACCAAAAGCAGCTGGGGGCTGAGCTGCCCGCCGGGGTTAAACCCCATCATGATCCAGGACAGAGACAAGGTGGGGTTTTAGAGCTGTGCTCCAGGGCAGAAGCTGCTGCCGTGGGGAGAGGCCCGAGGCCTGGGGCAGGGGCACAGGAGCCCCAGTGGGAGCAGGAAGCAGGCAGGGGAGCGAACTCGGGTGTGGGACAAGCTGGGGTGGAGGAGCCGACGGTGGGGAGGGACTCTCGGGCACAGAACTGCTGCCGGTCCGGCCATCCGCTGCTACGTCGCGGGGGTTTGGGCTCCGGGAGCGATGGGGCCGGGGGGCGGGCGGGATGCGGCGGGGGTGCCCGCGGCGGGGGCCGTGCCGGGGCGGGGGCAGCGGTCGCGGCGGAGCCGCATCCCGCGGAGGGCGGGCGCAGCCGGGCTGGCCCCGCGCCACGCGGAGGAGGAGCAGCAGATCCCCGGAGCACGTTAAAGAGCGAGGCCGAGCGCGGCGGGGAGGAAGCGAACGGGCTTCGTGAAGGCAACGGAGCGGCGGCCGCAGAGCGCCCGCCCCGGCCGGACCCGAGTTCCCGGCGGCGGCTCGGCCGGGCCCGGCGGTGGGTGCGGGATCGGGGCCGGGCGGCCGCGCCCGCAGCCCCGCACCATGCCCGCCGCGCTGCCCAGCCTGCTGGCCTGGCTGGCGGTGCTGCTGCTCGGCAGGGCCCGCCCGGCCGACGCCTGCAGCTGCTCGCCCATCCACCCGCAACAGGCCTTCTGCAACGCCGACGTAGGTGAGCGCCGCGGGGAACCCCGCCCCGAGCCCCCCGAGCCCCCGCCCGCGCCAACTTCCCGGCGGGGGAAGGAGCGGAAAGTTGGCGCGGGGCGGGCGGGAAGCGGGCAGAGGGGCGCGGTCCGTCCGTGCGGGCTGTGCCCGCCCCGCCCCGCACCTCCTCCCACCGTCTCGGGGGGCTCCCGCGCCCGGCCTTGCTCCCGGGGGCGCCTCCGCCGCTGCGAGCGGCGACCGGAGCGCCCGGGTCCCCTCTGGCCGCCCCCCGGTGAATGACACGGGTGGGCCCGGCCTCCCCCGAGTCTGGTGACACCGCGAGGTACGTGGCAGCGCGGGGCTGGGGCCCGGGGGCCACCGGGACCTTCCGAGTGCGGCCACGGCACCGGTCCGGAGCCCGGAGGAGCCCCTGTCCCCGGCAGCTGCCGCCACGGCTCGGCCACCCCTGTCTGCGCCTTATTTCCAGGCATTTCCTTTCCCCCGTCCCACTTTGTTCGGCTTGGATGCTGCTGAAAGGGAGGGCTTGGCAGCGCCGGGATCTGGATTCCTCTTTCTATGAATAATGCCCTTATTAAATTTTAACATATGAACCGAACAGGCCGGCCCCAGTTCCCGGCGCTTTCCTTCGCGGGCCCGTTCCCAGGCTCAGCTGGAGAGGTAACATTCCCAAACACTGAGGCAGCCCCAACCTCTGGATGGCCCTGCCCTGTCCCCTGCTCCAGATCCAGGATGTTCATCACAGGCGTCCCTTCCAGACCCCACTCCCAGCCTCTTCCCTCCGTGAGGGCAACTCCCACAGCACTTGGCTGCTGCCTCGGGTGCCCTGCCTCACCACGAGGCGTGCTGGGGACAGGGAGGTTTTGAGACAAAATGGAGCACTGGGTTTTTGTAGCTGCTGCTGGAGCTGGTGTCCCTAGCCCATAGGATGCCCTGTGCCTGCTCGGGCAGTGCGGCTGCGGCTTCCCATCACGCTGCTGTCAGGATCAGCTTTCGGGGCACTCGTGACTCACTGCCCGTCGTGGGGTGCCGGCTCAGCCCTGACTCAGCTGCTGAGTCACTGTCTGTCTTGGCGGCCCTGGCTGTCTGCACCGTCCCCTGGGAGGGCACTGCCTTGCTGAGCTTTGCTCTCCAGCCGCCCCGCTGCCCTCAGCAGGTGCCCATCCTGCCAGGCAGCGTCCTCCCAGCCACGCTGCCGGCAGCGCTGGCACCTTCTGGCTCCCAGCCCAAGCCTCTTGTGCAGCTCGTCTGTATCAAATGTGCTTCGTGTGGGCCTAAGTGAAAACAGTGCTGGGCTTGGGGACAGCAGGGCACAACCTGGGATGGTCCTGAGTGCCCTGGCCTTTTGCTGCTTCTTATCTTCCCTGGGATGCTCTCTGGAGTTGGGATGTTCCTCAGCCAGTTCCATCCCAGCAGATGTGTGGAGCCCAGGGAGAACGTGGGCCCCAGTGCTGCTAGGACCTTTC